AGAGAGAGAGAGAGAGAGAGAGAGAGAGAGAGAGAGAGAGAGAGAGAGAGAGAGAGGTCATGCTTTCATAGAAGGCAACACCATCTGTCTCCCTTTCTTCCCAAGGGTGGAACAAATGATCCCTTGAAGGCAAAAAAACAACTAGGCAGAGTCAGTGCTGACCTGATGCTTCCGCCCAAGCTGCTGATGTCATTCTGCACCTGATTCATCACTCCTGATTGCGCGATTTGCCATCATCATACCCAACGGCGATGAAGTCAACAAGAAACACACACAACAAAAAACATCAGTATTCCCACGACTCAGAGGAGCAGCAACACTTCCTATACAGTGTATACACTCAACGTGCATACAGATGGGGCCCTGGCCCCTGGGGACTCTGTCACTCCGTATACTACCGGTAGTATCCTTTTTGGCATCTGTCTCAGTCCCAGACATATGCAACAAACGGGGGGGGAGGGGGGGGAAGGGAGGGGGAAGGGGGGGTTGAAAGGATTAGAAAAGAGTCCTCGTTGTCCCGTGTAGTATCCCCAGTTACTTCTGAACTCCAGTGGATAAAGATGACTCACACACGTTTACCAAGCCAGAGTGTAATCCGGCACCATTAGAGATAATACTGGCCATGTTATTATAGTTGTGTTCCAAGAGTTAGAACTTAGAAGCCAACATACAAGTCGAAACAACATCAACGAGCACTAGACTCCAAGGAGGAGGACGATACTAGGATAGTAGTAACTGTTGTGACAAATAAAGTTTAATAAACAGATTGAACGTTTGAATCCCCTCAGGGAGGAAGAAAGGATCAGGCATCAAGTTGTCGACGAAGCAGGTGGATTCGACAAACTTTTTTGGGGGTCCTGAAACCCCATCAACAAAAAAAAGCGGGTGGCGCCCGGCGCCCTGTCTTCCAGGCCACCTCTCCGTGATTTTTGGAAAAGATCTAAGATTTCGGTGGGAAAAAAAAAAAAACAGAAAAAGAAATGAAAAAGTCTTTTTTTTATAGGAAGATTTTCATGCCCAGCCGGGCCGGGCGTGACGCCCGGGGGGGTAGGGCAGACTGCGGCAGCAGTCCGTCGGGAGACACAGTAACACAGGATAAGCCCTCTGCATACTTACAAGCTACAAACGAAGATGGACAAACATGCGGGCACCATCATGACAAAGCTCACAACAACAGGTCGTACCCTCGAGTTCAACCTCCAAAAAGTGAGTAGCTCGGGGTACCCGGGGGTGCGAAAAAAAAAAGTTCTGTGCTTTCCCAGGGGCCAAGTCCCACTTGCACCGTTGAGTTCAGCTAGCTCAACGGTGTGACAGCTTTTCAAGCATTTTTTAATTCATTAGAAATGAAGAAAGCTATTTTTTAAGGTCCGGACGTTCTTTTTTTATCTTTTTTTTTGCTTTTCTCCTCACGCCCGGTGCCTGAATTCATGCACACATGACGACGTAGGAGGGTCACAATCAGGAAAACAGGACAGCGTGAGGGAAATAAGTTCCTATTGATGCACCTATCCACTAAGCGCCGCCAAATTCAACAACTCGTGTGAAAGTACTACCTCTTGGCTGGACGACCACCTCATTGCTCCATTTGCAGAATAGGGCTTCGGATGATACGTCAGAAGCCAGGCTCATTATTTCCTTTTAGGGAGATATCCTGGGCGCCCGGGTCCCGATGTCACGCCCGGATTGGCGACCGGGTGACCAGCCGGGCATGACCCCCGGGCATGGCCCCGGGCAGAATCAGCGCAAAAAAAAAAAAAAAAAAAAAATCAAATCCAAAAAAATCTGAAAAAAAAAATGTCGTGTACAATTGCAATACAAACAACTTTTGGCTGAGGATCACATCAGAATTCCTCACAGAACTAAAGATAGAAAATAAAATAACCATATCACACGAAGGCACCCCCCTTTAAACCCCTTTAGCCCCTTTTAAAATTCATTTACACTCCCCTTTCCCCCCCTTGACAGCCAACACTCAAAAAAAGAAAAGAGCCCGTGTCACCCGGGCGTCATGCCCGGGTGACCGCCCGGTCCAGACCGGCCGGTCATGAAAATCTTGTCGTTCCGTGAGAAATCGTCATTGAGCTGGCTACCAAGACAAAAAAATGAGAGCTAGCACAACGAAAGGGCGCTCGGGTAGGGGGCGTTCTATTTGAGAAAAAGGCATTTTACTCTGGTTTCCAATATTAAAAAAAAAACAAGAAAAGGAAATTAAACTTTCTTTCCTTGAATCTACTGCTGGATTCGAAGGGACATCTAGCATCGTCGAGTCGCGCCCTGTCACATGTCATTGAATTCTCAGCGTTGAGGTAGCTGAACGCTGTTAGTGGGACTTGGTCCCAGAGGACCCGGAATCCGGGCTCATTTCTTGTTTTGCGAGTTGGCTTTCAAGGGAGGGGGAGGGGGGTATAAATTGGTTTTAAAGGGGCTAAAGGGTTTAAAGGGGGTTGCCTTAGTGTGATTCTGTTTTTTCTTTTTTATCTCCGATTCGGTGAGGAATTCTAATGTGATCCTCAGCCAAAAGTCGTTTGTATTGCAATTCAACACAACATTTTATTGATGACTGATTGATTTATTGACCCCTGATGCAACGATTCAAGTACTGGGGGTTCGAATGACAGCACAAGGACGGCCGGTAGGAAACGATGATTGGCTCACATCTCCGGCCTTGACCAAACTATCCCAATGGAACCATAAACACACGTCACTCTTTGGTAGAGCGCTAGTAATAAATAATACAGTGCTGGTCACGATATGGTACAAATCGTTATTGTGGCCGCTCAATGAGTTAGCCCAGAAAGCACTGAAGAGGAAGGTGGCGGCCTACCTATGGCGGGGAGACAGCGAAAACACAAGGTCATCAGCCGAGTGGCGTGGTACTGTGTAATGCAGCCAAAAACCAAAGGAGGACTGGGTATCCTGGACCCGGCAACGCAAGTGCTGACACTGGTGCGAAAAATGGGCGATACGGCTGATCTTCGAAACCACCTTAGTATGGAGACCTTTGGCCTACTAACAGTTAACACGCCTGGCTCCGACAGCCCCCCCATCAGTACATCCTTTAAGCTGGCTGGATGATCGTTACTGGACAGTCCCCCGGGCGGCTAGAGGGACTGCACGAACTAAGCCCGAGCTTCGGCTAGACTTACCAAATGACGACTTTTGGCCCAGGCTTCTGAAGACATGGAGACGACTACCCCTACCACAACGGCCGCCACCGGAACGGTGGGAGGAAATGGCCAGGCAACCCCTCTTCGGGAACTCCCGTATAACCAACTCCCATGACAATATATTCTGCAGCTCCGAATCTCCGTGGAAGGGCTGGGTAAAGAATGGAGTCACGAGGGTTGGAGATCTGTGGGATGACGGGATAAAGGACTGGAAAAGTCAGGACCAAATGAGGGAGAGACTGAGATATTGCCATAACGTAGGAACAAACTTGGGAACTATCACGGAGGCCCTCTCGATTGGGTGACGGTCTATCTTGAGAAAGGGGAGAACCCTGGACAGGCGGGACAGATCCACCTCGTGCAACTGGAAGATGCCCTGGTAGAATGGTATACAATAGGAAGAAGGGGAGAGTTGAGGAGCAGCCGTGACCCTTTCGTATGGGTTCAGCACGACCACCTGTACAGGATCTGCACAATTGGAGAAGGGGAGGAACGACGAGCGTTTATGCCCGAGACCCCACTTTTTGAACTCTCATTGGACCCACTGGAATGGCAATGCCCCCCCCCGGTAAGGGCCAAAGCCAGCACCGCGAAACTCCGTACACTTTCCAGTCTCACGGTGAAAGGCACCTATAGGATGCTCAGAGCCCGCCTAGAACTGAAAGACGTGATAATCGACAGGTGTGCGAAACACCTCAACGTGGATAGACACCTGCTAACACCGATACGGTGGTTTCAAGATTGCAAGTGAAGGCCAGCAAAAATCACCTCACTTCAATGGCAAATCGCTCACCGCTGCCTCCTCACAAACAACTGGCTGATCGACCACACACAGTTGGAACAACAAGGTAGAGCCCTACCATGGTGCACACGGTGCCTGCAGTGATTTTCGGCCAGGAAAAGGCCGGAAACAATCGGACATATCTTTCTGCAGTGCCCGACCGCCATCCTAACATGGAGATGGTGGGATAGGATTTGGAGACTAATGACTCCAAATCAAGCATGGCCCTGGGACTGGAGAGCGATTCTCTTAGGTTTTCATCCAACCTCACAAAATGATACATTTGAAAGTAATATGTCCTCCTTGGGAAGGAAGACGGTCTTGTGGATTTTGTGGTGGCAACGCTGTGCGCTGGTATTAGAAGGAAACATGGTGGAGGGAGAGGAATAAGGGATCTCCTTAAAACCCATTTCCAATTGGAGCTGATGCAGAGGTGGAAAGAAACTAAGAGAACTCTAGACACCCTCCGTACAGGCAAGGACATATCGAACAAGATTACTCAGTTTGCCGAAGAATGGTTAGGGGGAAAGAGGGAGGGATGGGTAGGGAGGGTATACTGGTCAGGAGAGAAGAACGGGGAAGACATAGAAAGAGTGACAGGCACACGAGTCGAAATCCCCCGAGACTACCACCTCTCCTTCAAAAACTGGACGGACGTGGATCCCAGCATCCCCCTGCGACCCGCAGAAGACTTCTCAGATCCCTTTCCACCGCACCCGCTGGCTCTGGAGGAATGGCTCGAATGAAGAGTGGCCAGACAAAGGCAAATATCATCTGTCCGTACCCAGACCTCGACTCGCTTTCTTCTTGCCGCCAGAAGGAACGCTGTGGCCATTGGAAAGGCGGGCGAAAGGTAGTTGGGAACCAGTGGTTCACTCTGATACCCATAGAATACTGAACGGAACAGAGGGATCCTTGGTGCAAGAAGAGAGGGAGGAACCAGTCCAGCAGCAGGAATCTGGCGCCAAGTACAGGGGGAAGAGGTTTACTCCAGCAGTCTTTATACGGTTTTTTTTTTTTTTTTTTTTTTTTTTTTTTTTTTTTTTATTTTTTTATCCTTTTCAGTGTTTTTTTCTTTCTCCTTTATCCTTTCCTCTCTCTCTCTCCTGCTTCGATATTCTCTTTCCTTCGCTTATCCACATTCACACACACACACACACACACACACACACACATACACACTTTTTTTTTTTTTTTTTTTTTTTTTTTTTTTTTTTTTTTTCCCCTTAACTCATTCTGTGTCAGGGGTATCTCAAAAAAGATAAA